GAAATCGCTTAATTTCATGTCTGATGAACTGAGCAAAGTGGCTAAACAACAAGGTATGCTACATGACCTAATGGATGAAATAAAACAACTAAAAAACATGATAAAGGAGAAGGACAAGAAAATAGACGACTTGGAACTGCGAATCGAGGACCTTGAACAATACACAAGAATGGATGATTTAGTCATAAGTGGACTGGAGACGCAACACCAAACCTATTCCAGAGTAACAGCTGGCGGAGGTAAAGACGGTGAAGATGCCCCAGTAGAGGAGCTGCAAACGCTTGAACAGCAAGTGATAAAATTCCTTCAAACGAAGAATGTAAGTATTCAGAGCCATCATATCGCAGCATGCCACACACTCCCCAGAAAAGACAGTAAAACAAAGCCAGCAATTATTCTTCGGTTTGTGAGTCACAAAACAAAGATTGAGTTACTGAAACAGGGAAAGAAGCTAAAAGGGTGTATTTAAATGAACATTTAACAAAAAAGACTGCTGAAATTGCAAGACAGGCATGCAGCCAGAAAAAACAAAATAAGATATAAGCGACATGGACGAGGAACTGCAAAGTAATGATAAGACTAAATGGCACTCCCAAAGAAGCAAAAGTTGTGATGATAAGAGAACTCAAAGATTTAGAGCAATATAAATAATCAGGAATGGAAAGTGTTTCTGGCCTTACAGCTCAAAAAACAATAGGAAAAACAACAACAAAAACAAATAACACATAAATGACAAGTTTGGACATAGATTATAGGTTTCCATTCAGAGATGTTGAAGAGGGAGACTTTGATTATGAAAAGGACTGTCAAGGAGGTTATTTTGCCACATGCTGAGAAAACGAACTTTAAAACATTTAACTATGCAGAGCACAACATGCATGACCCTGAAAGTAACATTGACCCAGATAACCACTTCTACAATAAAAACAATAACACTTGTGAGTACTATACAGACGACCAATTCAATATGAATATTAAAATGGCAAATGCATTGTTGGTCATACATTTCAATAGTATAGTTTTTCTAAAATTACAGATTGTTTAAGTAAGTTAAAAAAGTTTAATAAAATTGCAAAATCAGAAAGATGGCTCGATAATGAGAAAGTTAGTGAAATGGGACTGGAAGGATACGAATTATTTACAATGAACAGGGTGAATAAAAAAAGGAGGCGGTGTTGCTTTATATGTAGATAAAGTTTTGAAATGTAGTCTGATTGAATGTATGTCAAGAACATAGATAACGTGTTGGAATGTGTTACTATTGAAATCCGTGTTGAAAAAGCTAGCAATATAATTATAAGTTGCATCTATAAGACACCAGGATCATGCCTTGAGACATTCAATGAAAAACTTGCTGCTATAAATGATAAAAAGGTGCAAATAATTTGTGGTGATTTTAATATAGATTTGCTAAACCCAAATGGACATCAGAAAACAACAGATTTCAT